GCTGATGTGTAGGTCTACTATCTCTGAATCGGCTTAATCTTATTTAGACAAATTATTCTTTGATCTTGCACTGTGTCAATGCAATCTTTTAAAGCCTGGATGTCAGAACATGAGGAAACCAGTCGCAACAATATTTGGTCGGGAGAGAGAGAGAGAGAGAGAGAGAGAGAGAGAGAGAGAGAGAGAGAGAGAGAGAGAGAGAGAGAGAGAGAGAGAGAGAGAGAGAGAGAGAGAGAGGCTGATCTCTCCCTATAATGCACTGTCTAATTAACAAGACTACAGACAGAAAGACTCGAGCGACGACCTCCTTCAACACGTCTATTTTTTCACATTTCAAATGATTTTCACCAATTACGCCTGCATTTTTTTTAAACTAAAAGGATGCATAGCCTATAGGTTATTAATGGCATATTAATAATAATAGCCTAATGATCAGTAGGCCTATAAATATGAAATAAGATACTAATGTTACTGTTGTTTCTCTAATTAAAAGTCAATCTGAATTAAATGTTCTCTGTTTTTCAAATAAAATAAAAGAGCTTTGCACGAGATAGTATGCAAATATTATATATTCGGGCAATAGTCCAGCATAAATAATCGTTCCTCTCGTCCATCTTGAACTCAGCATCAGTCTTGTGTCCCCAGTTTCCGTTCTCACACCTCATCGGAAGAATCTGATTCAGACGGAAGGTAAAGGGCAAACCTTGAACTCATTAACAGGTTAAAAGAAGGGCCACGAAACAGCATTATATCCACTTTTAATTCAGAGCAGAGAGAACGCGCACACAAGACACAGCCGACAGATCACATTATGGTCCATTTTAGTCATGTCTCGTGCGTTGAGTTTATAGTTGTGCAAATGGAATTTATTTTACTTTTAACTAATTTGTATAATTTATTTCATTTTTATAAGGTGTCCTTTAATAAAAAATGTAGGCCTACTAAAAAAAAATTTCCAGCCCAGATTCCACGGATAAAAGATTAACGATCCGTTCACCGGGAGTGAGCAGTGTTGCTCTATTCGTTCGTGGCGAAAGCCCCAAATCTCAGCACAGAAATATCTTTAGTTTGATCAGAGCTGGATAGAATTATCACGGGGAGAGATACAAAGGCGGCAGACAAAACGCGCCCGGTTTCCCTGGTGTTTGAGTACAAACCATATTAAACACGAGCTCCAGTTATTAGATCTGACTGAAACAGCACTGAGGAATATGAAGCAGAGGTTTATGAAATCAGAGACAGTGTCTGACAAAACAAATAAAGAGTGTGAGGCCTAGCTATATTTCAGAGGTTCGACCTTTTAAAGAGAATTTTAAACGTCTGCTAAATTTGTAATGTTTTACAATGTTTTTACGCTTTTATTGTTTTACAATAGGCTAGTATTAAATGCAGTAGCCTAGGCCTAAATGTAAAAGTAATTTTAGGGCATAATCTGTCGATGTTTGTCTCACGCATTGCAAATTGTAATTTGGTGTAAATGTAAAGGTAAATGATTGAAAAGTTTTTAATCAAAAGACAAAATATTTCAAAATGTTATAGACATTTTATCATATAATTCATAAAGTGATACAAAATGACTTGTGATGTTTATGCAACACGCGATAGCTACAAATAGTAGCCTAATGGAAGCGCGTGCACCGTGTTGTTATGGTTACCTCCCTCTGGCGAACTCCAGATTTTATTTCGCGACTACTGAAAATAGCTGTGCATTTAAACTTGTAGTCGTAGGCCTACATTTCTGAAACGTTTGAAAACCTGCTGACGCATACAGCCTATTTGTTTGTTTGACTTCCTTATTCAAGCCTTCGCTAAAATGATGGGTGGGGGTAATTCATAATTCGCACACTGCCTATAAACGCGTAGGGTTAGCTAGAAGTGTTTTATGTAGTCAATTTTGTATGTATTTTGTCCTTTCCTGCATTTTTATTTATTAGATTTGACAGATTCACGAAATATTTCGCACACGCAAGATATCCCGCACTGAAATGTTTAATGTATAAGACAGAGAGCGCACATTATTAATATGCATGTATTCAATTAAGGGTATTACACAGGATTTCATTTGCATAAGGATTTGGGAGCTTAACATGCCTTTTCATATTTGTGCAATAAAACTTTAATATTAATGCCTGCCCTTCAATGCCGTGGGTACTTTTAGTTTTATCTGTCTACTACACCCCTATTAGCCTACTATTGGCTACTATACCATCGCTGTTCAGATCAGCTTAATGGGCCCCAATCATGATTGCCAGGCCTGTGGCAAATTGTCACTGGTATATTTGTCACTCTACATAAACAGTAGCTGCACCTGTTTCTCTTCTGACAGCTCAGACCAGCGTGTACTTTTTTTTGGAAAGGATGGCGGGTATAGCCTAAATATTTGGATCAGCGGACAAAAGTGTGCTTATTGTAGGGATTCCCATGCAGGTTCGCACAACTGGAAATTATAGCACACTTATCCTACTGAAAAAACAAGTTATATGTGGGCCATCCTGCATGTCCGTCTTCTTCTTATTAAACTGCTGTGTGATACAAACAATTGATGGAATTTACGAGAAAACAGGAGTATTTTTGGACAATGTCACACATCAGTACTAGGTCAGTTGTTAGAAAATTAAGGGTTAAATTCCATCATATTATTGTCATCTTAATGCGTTTGAATGCTTCAGACAAGCAGCAGTGACATCTCTTTATTCAATGAGCTGAACCCGTGTCATACCCTTCAATAACATTACGATCTATCTAATGACTATCGATTACATCCTTAAAATAGCTTCTATGCCATACTATGAGCCACATGCAATCAAAGGTCAGCTTTTAAAGAATGTTTGCTAGTTTCTTCGTTTGCAGCACTGAGTAAAAATACACAATTCCCTGCGGTTACATTTCCCAGAATGTGTGTGTGTGTGTGGAGCTCGAGATCTTGTCAAAAAGCCAGGTGTTTGTTTATAAGACACAAGCTGATAATGTGTCAGAGTTAATGCCATCCTTAATCTGTTGTGCTGCTCGAAAACACACTTACTCTCAGGTTGTCTTATTGGAGGTTTTTGAAGATTAAACAACAACCCATGACAATTTTTACAGTCTTATCTTGAGCAACTAACAAGCTCTTTTCTTATAGCTTCTTGAAATAAGGATTTCGATTTAAACATGGCATTCAATGACTTTGTTTACTGTAATTTAACCTATACACATTTTTAATAGGTTTAAAAATGTTGCAAAGAGACTATATTAAACGTAATATATTATAGACAGAATTGCTGAGCATTTTCAGTATTTTGGCCCATTTGATTTCAAAACTTTTGCACAAAAACATTTGCACCGGTTTTTTTCGTGCAACCTACAAAACCTTCGTGTCACTAAATGTAAAGAGGAAGCCGAAAGCAAATAAGCCTGCTGTTCGAACAAATAAAGTTTGAGTGTTTGTTATTAAAACTTTTATTCTTTAAAATTAGGTTTTTAATTTTGATAAAGCAAGTTTATGTATTGTGAAGCTAACATACGGACTTCACAATAGCCCTGCAACATATAAAATCATTTCAATTTTTTTACGGAGCATCAAAGCTATGTTAACTCTGCCATGCAGTGCCATTTAAAAATCAATTGATATTTGCTTCGAACTCTCATAAAACGCGAGTCACGTGGGGGCTGTATGAATTTGTCTCCCACTGGCTTGTTTCTGAGGTCCGCTGCTCTCTAGGGCTCGAAATTAATACTGTCTCGCCAATTAAGTTCAGAGCGCCAATTAAGAGTGCTTCATGAATTAATAGAGTAAAAACAAATCCAAAAACTTAAATGAGCACATGAAAATATTATCGCAAAAATTAGTTCAGAATGTCAAATAAAAAATGTGACAACTTTGATATCCTCAACTAAATGTAATTTATTTCGTGCTTCGGTCCGTTTTTCTTTAGTCTCCTGCATGGTTCACGTATGAGAGAAGTGTCTCTCTTTGCGTTGTTAGAATAATCACCTATTATACTGGATGGACTGAATAAGTAAAACAAATATGTGGCCTTTTGGGATTTGGAAGCAGTGGCTCACAGCAGTCTATATGAGGTACAAAAGAGGGCGGCCATCAATAATGGATGATCCGAGATATTCATTGCTTTCTAAACACTCACCTCATAGAGATTTTTTAAAGAACGAGTATAATAGTTTCAATGAAAGCTTATTTTAGGAGTTTTTGGAGAAAATAAAATGCTCACAGAATGACATCAAAAAATAATAATTTAAATGTAAAAAATATGAATGTGAGGAAAACCATGCATGAAAGAGATATATTATTAGTAATATAATACATCTTCGGCGACGTTTTTTAGAACAATATAATTTAAAAGGGGCAAAAAGCAGGTTAGATTGACTAAACAGCCGAATTCACTGTGACACTGACGTTAATTGCACTTCTCACAGAGACTCTGAGTTGTACATCCAGTGCTGTCAGTAAGACAGAGGCTATTCCCGGTCTTCTGGATCCTTTTGTTTTAACCAGTCACGGGGATCTGTCCGGGCCCGAGGTGTTTGGCAAAGCAGATCAATCCGAAAAACAATGGGGTTCAAGCCACAGTTAAAAAGAAAATAAATTATATGATCATACCGCACTAGATACATCGCATATGACATCGGCGCATACAAAGTAAGCTTATGGAATTCATGAAATCAAATCACAAATTGGAGCGATTCACTTGTCACTTAAGACAAAGACGTGAAATGTCCATTTCACGAAAGTTAAATATCTCACTGCACGTCAAAATAAAAACAAGTCGATCATATTAAGGCTAATGTTACAAAAAATAAAATAATTGAAACTGTCCAAAGTATTAAAGTTAGGCTATATAAAAAAAAAGAAAAGAAAGTCTCGAGTTACCATCAAATTATGGTCCAGCTGACATTAAAATCCCTGCAACAATTCGATACAGCGAGTATATCAAGAGTTCGAACAGCCAATAATCACGAACGGAACGGCGTGACGTCAAAGTCCCGGTAGAAAAGGCGCGTTGGGTTTGCTCACGTTTGGAGAGGGAAGAGCGCAGGGAACCTCACTGTCTTCACTGGATTATACAAACCAAAAGTGTCCTCAACTCCTCCTCCTTCTCAATCGTTTACAGGCTGATCCTACTGCATTCGGGACGAGCAACAACAGGCTCTTATCACAGAAAGCTCTATATGTCAGGACAACCATCTCATTTGTTAGAGCAAACCTTTGAGCTGATTTTTACCCGTATCCAAGCTGAAGCCTACTGAAGTTGGACATTTTTGGTGTGTGTGTGTGTGTGCGTGTGATGACAAACTGTGGTGGAGGAGGATGAAGATATAACCACTTGCAGAATCTGAATCGTCACTGTAGTCGTTCCTCCCAAGCATTTCGGGATTATATATTTTTATTCTTCGGCGATGCAATAACGGATTGTTTTTGTGTTATGAGCGGCAGCAGACACGCTCCAAGACTGATTTCTGAAAAGACAAGGAAGAAAAACTGAGATCCTACACTGACAAATGCATGTCCAAAATGTGGTAACTGAAAGTTGCTCAGGAAGAAATAGGAGGGTCCAGTGTCACACATGTAGAGGGGCTTCGGTAGCTGGTATGTCCTCAAAGCCCCGGAATGCTCTCATAGGCTAAACCGACCCTGTACCGGGTGCATGCTCTGCGATCTCATTCTCTGATGCATTTCAAAGAATCTATCAGAATACGGAGTTGACATTTCTGATAAACGAATAGCGTTAAGAGCGATCAGATTCTCCGACCGGGAATTATTTAGCGTGTGAGAGAAAGAGGTCATATGAACTGCACAGGGCTAGAAGTGCGTCTCACGGAAATCTTGGGTTGCCGATCTGACGGAAACACGTGCTATTCGGTCTCATCTGCGGCAACGATGCTTTTCCACGGTCTGCCTGGGGGCGAGATGCATGGTGTTCTGGAAGAAATGGAGCGGAGAGGAAAGAGCGACTCGGCGACTATCAGCTCGGCTATAGATATGGGGGAAACAGAGACGGTAGGAGAAAGCCATGCCTCTCGCTCCAGGCGCTTGCTTGGAAATTACAACAGCCTATGTTAACTGAACCGTTATTCAAACAGTGGTATAGAGGCCCAAAGACGGGATTTCGATCTTGTCCATTTAAACAAACTTCAAACTTCTGCGAAGCCAAAATTATAGGCCTGCATGGTCTTCAACGCATTGCTTTTAAATCTTTTGCCATGGGTGGATTGCAAATTGTTACAGAAAGCTACGATAGGCTATTCTACAATAGGCCTTTCAGTTTTTAATGGGGTACAATTCTGTTAAATTTCTACTGATTATTCGATATAAATGGTGAAATATCAAAGCATTAGCGAGCAAAAAAAACCCTGTTCGGTTTTGCACAGATACTGACATTTATAGGAAATTCCTATTTTACAAATCCTTATGCAGGGCTGCTCAACTTTAAGAGATGAGAAATTCATCATTTAAAAATGCATTTCTTTTTTCATAACGTTTGAGTGAGTTCATTATGATAAAATAATTTCCAGGCGTTATAATTGAACAAATAAATTGACAGTGTTTTGTGCCGTAATATCTGTGATTACCAACAAAAAAAGAGACTATGTCGAACCTTACGGTTAATTCATTTGCCATAAAATTATTTCTTATCAGTTTCTTTGGCAACAATGAACTTTGAATGATTAAAACTGTTTTAACATTTCTAACACTGAATCTTTTTTTTTTTTTTACGCTGGCAAACCCAAAATTACAAATAAAGTAATTATTAAGAACAAAATAATATATTTATTACACACATGTATAAGTGTGTAATATGAGTGTGTTTGCAGTGTGTATTAAGGCCACACAACACGCCGAACGTAAACACAATAAAACGAGCGCAGTCTTTGATTAATTTGTTTACATAATTCTCACATTTTTCCAAAATTGTGCCTTTGTTAATTTTTTTTTTTTTAACATGGAGGCATGCATAATCAATTCTTGCTGTTATTTCCTTTTTTATGCGTGGTTTTCCGTTGTAACTAGAAACATTAAATACTTATCAATGGATACACTTCTGTATTCTGAATTTGATCTCACGCTCCTCCCATTCTGTACAGTATGAACACTAGTAACACCTCATTCTTTGGACATTTTTAATCAGCAAATTCGTAAAATAGCCAAGTGTTTACAGAGGACTTTAGATACACACGATGTAGCCTATATTTTATCTTTTACCAATCTGCCATTAAATGATTTGTAAAGCATAAGAGATAATGTTGTCGTGTGATTGTGTGTGTGTGTGTGCAGAACATGCCTTCCATGAGCGGGGACCGGCTGGCTCTGTGCGCAGGCTGCGGAGGAAAGATCTCGGATCGCTATTACCTGCTCGCCGTGGACAAGCAGTGGCACATGCGCTGTCTGAAGTGCTGCGAGTGTAAACTCAACCTGGAGTCTGAGCTCACCTGCTTCAGCAAAGACGGAAGCATCTACTGCAAAGAAGACTATTACAGGTGAGCAACCCACCTCCTTCGCTTCAACAGTGACGTTTTCTTGTGGATAAATAATTAAAAGGCTAAACATGTTGTAGCAAAAGACTTACTTTTTGTCTGTAAACTATATTTTGGTGTGTGTGACGTGGTTTCGTCATTAGCCTATAAAATGTAATAACCCAGACAAGACGTAACTAATTTTATTATATATAATGATTTTTTTTGTAGATGACATTATTGCATGTAAACACGTCGTTCGCTTAAATTAAATTGATTACTAAAATACAGAAACTACTGATATTAGCCTCAAGGCATGATTTTTGCCTAAAATTGAACGTTTTTGTTTAAATTAACGAAACATTCTGTATAGCAAAATGCCAGATTTTTTTGTCTAGAAATTGCTACTTGTGAAGACGTCATGATGAAATTTAATAATTTCGTTTAATTCAATAATCCAGAAACTACTAGCATAGGCTAACGTAAAAAATATATATATATTTCCGAGTTGTGTCTGCGTATATTTTGCAGTGTAAAGTGATTTTGAACGTCATTATAAAACTAAAAAAAAAAATCCCGAGACGATTTACCTAAAGAGCTTGATCTTAACAAAAAAAGAAAGCAGCAAAACCAAAAGCGCCACTGTGTGATGTTTGGATGATATGTATCTGACCGTGCACTGATTCTGTATGTCATTGTACAATTTAATAATCAGAGGGAGGCGAGAGGCCTATTAAGATAATCATATAAGTGAAGGCTTTACTCATTTCCACGATCAAATTAGGCTCTAGCACACGTCAATCTAAATTGTAGGTTATTTAACAATTATTTATTAGCGAGACTGAATTCCACTGCACGAGTTAACTCTATTTGTTCATGCATCCTGCTATTTGAGGCATGATAGTGCACGTGCTCTCCTCTTCAACATGTATTTCAGATCAAATAATTTACAAATTACAATTCCTCCAAAGGTTATTATGAGAAGCAGCGCATTTAATGTCAGGCTGGTGAGTGGTGGGCTCACCTTCTGGTTGAAGTGATCTGAAAGGTCACAGCTGCTCTATTCTCCCGCAGAAGGTTTTCGGTGCAGAGATGTGCCCGGTGCCACCTCGGGATCTCGGCCTCGGAAATGGTCATGAGGGCCAGGGATTTGGTGTACCACTTGAACTGTTTCACCTGCACGACTTGCAACAAAATGCTGACGACTGGGGACCACTTCGGCATGAAAGACAGTCTGGTGTACTGCAGGCTACACTTTGAAACGCTCATCCAGGGAGACTTCCCCACGCATTTCAATCACACGGATGTAGCGTCTAATAAAGGACTGGGCAGCTCGGGCCCTCTAGGACTGTCTTATTATAACGGCGTGAACACGGTGCAGAAAGGCCGGCCCCGAAAGAGGAAGAGCCCTGGGCCCGGAGCGGACTTGGCTGCTTATAATGCAGGTGAGAGCATTATTGGCGTTTTGCTGTTGCTGGTTAACTGCTATAGTTTTATTCCTTGCATTCTTTTTATTTTCATTTGGCACGAGGTGCAAGCCGATTTCCTATCTGATGTTGCACAACTTTTTTAAGAGCGCGTATATGCCTACTTACTGCGATTTCGGGGAATTTCCAGGTTAAAAAACTTTTTGGGGTGCACTAGCCTACCTAACGAAATCGTTTCAGAGCAAGACAAAGGAAGAAACCTGGCCAACTGCATGATGATGAATTTACAAATAGGCATAGGCTGTACAGTGAAATTTCGTTTCAACAATAGGCTACTATTAACAACCGACTGTTATAAATAATTGTATGATTATAATTGCAACCACACATGCAATAAATAAACTGCTTTCTAATACGAAAATCAGGCGGGAAATATTTAAAATAGCATTTCTGAATGCAGTCTTCGTTGGGAAAAATGAAAGTTTGTTTAAATATATATATTTTTAAACTGTATTATTTCGTTGCTATTGTTTTGTTTTATTAGACTTTGTCATTCTAATTCGTTTGAGAAGATATCTTACGTTTATAAAGCACGTGGTGATGTTTTTATGAAAGCCCGCTATCCTTAATTAGCAATATAGCCTAGTAGCCTAATTCACTAAACGTTTCATCTCGTATTTACCGTGTAGGCCTATTTTAAATACAAAAGTTTTACCCAAGAAACGAGAAATAATATAAGTTCACCTCTCTACTACGTAAAAGGAAAAAAATGCGCCACTTTTTAAGACAATCGACACACATCACAGATTCTACTTAAGCACTCGAGCTTGTGCTGAACAATTTAGAACAACGTGACTTGTTCGCTCGGGCATTTCGGGCCCCTCAGCGGGGCATTTGGGCCCCTGCTTGAGGACCAAACAGAGGAATGATGACGACTACAGAGACTGACAAGTGGAAAATGGCTTAGATGCTAGTCGAGACCTCCAGAAGATTAAATACAAGTGAAAGAAAGAAAGAAAGAAAGAAAGAAAGAAAGAAAGAAAGAAAGAAAGAAAATCTTCAGCTTTTCTGGGCAAATTCAGACGAATTAATTTACCCTGGGTTTTGCTCTACAAAAAGTTTAATCAAATACGACGATATTGCCTTCCTTTTCTTCACGAATATTCAAGTAGTATTTAATGCAAAATATACTGGCATAAAGCGATATACAAAATTAATGAACATTTAAAAATAAATAAATAAATGTAGAATCGTTTATTAGTCAGATTATGTCCTGGTCTATATCGCATGTTATTATTTAAGACTACAACTAGTCTATAAAATATAAATCAAATATAAAACTAGTCCAAGCTCTATTTCCACTAAAAATGTGTAAATGCGATGTTTTCTTTATCACTTTAAACTCAAATTGTCTGGTTGCTTTGTAAATCTTGTTGTCTAGGGAGCGTTAATTGAAGTTGGCAAAATGATCACAACAATTGCGGCCTTGTTTGGTGGAAGAATAACCCGCTTGTGAAGAATTGTTAAAGGAAAGTCAAATGAAAGTTTTTGAAATCAGATCAACCGTTTTGACAACACAGGAGTTAACCAGAGTGAGTGAACTTTGCTGTCTCTCTGACACAGTCAGATCATTGCTGCCCCCATCAGCTCACACTTTAAACAACAGCACGAATACAAGGACAGCAGATCAAACCCTGAGAAATAAGAAAAATAAAGACAGCTTTTTAGTATTGCAATACTACAGTTACCATGTGCACATCAATAATTCTGTGTTCAGTAAAGATAACTGTTCTCGACTGTAGTAAAGGTGACAGTATTTATCAATGGCCATATTTATATCAGGAAGAAACATTTGTTCGCCATGTGCGGCGTTGTAAAGCATTCAAGGTTAATTATCTGAAGTGTTGATCAGACCATTTTCAATGACTAATATTTGTAGTTGTCAGAGAAAACATAATTCTGAACTGTCATGCGTCTAGCAACACATAAACTTCTGCCAAGAATTTGGAACTGGCGCAAACACATTTCTGACACATTCAGACGGGCCTATCTACTAAACACTTGTGTCCAAAGATGGATAGTGTGGGCTTTTTCCACCATCAAATCCTAGACATCATAAAAACAGAAACAAAGATAGAGCCATATGTGGGGGGTGGGGTTGCTGTAAAACCGGGTAAACCCACCAGTGTTGAGCATGTTGATTTTTACATGAAAAAGTGAAATACTTACATACTTCAAAACATTTGCATTTCGAATCAGATGTGTTTTATAATAAAGAAAAAAAGGAGCATGATGTAAGACTACAGCATAATGCAGATTATTATGCATGCAGTAAGTTGCAAACACAGCAACATGATGGTGCTGGCTGCTTTATGTGGTCAGATTCAAGACTAAACACACTGTTGTGCAATCGAAGAAACCTCATTCTCACCCCAGCGTTCTGTCTGTCATCAGATCCAGTGTATTTATTGTTTGCTCAGTTGAAGGAGCTTCAGTTATGACCCATTGAGTTTAGGCTTTCTGCACTTATTCAAAGTAGAACTCCACTATTAAACTTAATTTGCATGTCTAGTTTTAATACTGTGGTTCAGCTATCGAAATGTTTGGACTAGAACACTTTGGGATCAATATCAGGAGCACAGCTAATCGATTGTCTGGTTTTTTTTTTTATTCAGCTTTGAGCTGCAATGAGAATGATGGCGATCCGATGGACAGAGACTCACAGTACAGCTCCAGCCAGAAGACAAAGCGCATGAGAACGTCATTTAAACACCATCAGCTGAGGACCATGAAGTCGTATTTTGCCATCAACCACAATCCTGACGCCAAGGATCTGAAACAGCTGGCCCAGAAAACAGGTCTCACCAAGCGCGTCCTACAGGTCAGAAATCAATTGTTTTGGCTTATTGCAGTACACGAGATGCTAGTTTTTATATTAACAAACACTTAATCAAATTCCTTCACTTCAGCAATAAATTACTAGAGGAATGAAGATTGTGATCAAATGTAAATCACATGCCTGTTCTCCTCAATGGAATGATGTTCATTTGCTTCTAACAAAAAATACATCTAAATTAATAACATGCACAAATAAAGCACGAGGAACCTGTAAATAAAAGAAAACACTGGGAACACTTTACAGTAAAGGTTCCACATGAACGAACAATGTAAAATACTTCTAAAGCATTTATTAACCTTAGTTAAATGTTAATTTAAACATTTACTAATTCATTATTAAAATGGTTTAATATTAATGGATCCGAGCTGACATGAACTGTTGCATTTTTGTTAATATTAACAAAGATTAATAAATACTGTATAACAAGGTCCCATTAGTTATTGCATTAGCTAACAATGAGCAATGCATTTGTTTAAGTGTTACCCAGCTGTGTCAGATATCATTGAAACAAGAACAAATTTAATGCATTTGGCTCACAAATGCTGTGGCAAAACAACCAGGGGACAACGGAGAAGAAACTAAAGAATGAAAAAATGAGCCTCTTTGATGAGTAATGTTCGTCCCCTGAGCATCACGTCGTTCTCACATCTTCTGCCGTCTCGGTTTGCAGGTCTGGTTCCAGAACGCACGGGCCAAGTTCAGACGAAACCTCCTGCGTCAGGAGAACACGGGTGTGGACAAGGCTTCGGACGGGTCGACCATGCCTGGAGGAACGCCGTCTGGACCCGCCTCGGAGATCTCCAACGCCTCCATGAGCCCGTCCAGCACCCCCACCACCCTCACAGACCTGACCAACCCCACAATGCCCACCGTCACCTCCGTACTGACCTCTGTGCCGGGCAGCCTGGACGTTCACGAGTGCCGGAGTCCATCGCAGAGCACCTTAACCAGCCTCTTCTGATGCTCACATTTGCACAGAGACACGTCGCCTTCGTCGGCTTCCTCAGAAGAACATTCATGGGTGGGGCGTCTCAACAGCCATCGAAATCAGAAACCGTGCTTGCAAAGCATAGTACCGTTCTGACACAAATACTCATTCGCGTACTACATCTGTCTGATACATAAACCAATCTACCTGGGCATCTTTTGTACCTTTACAGATGTGGCCAATCCAGACTTTACGAATGGAGAAAAGCAAGACTCAGAAACTCTTTGTTTGGCCACGAGGCTCTTAAGAGCGTTGCATCTTTTGGCATCTGGATCTGTTGATAATAGTCTTTGAAACGACTGATTTGCATTTTTATTTTTCCATGCGTTTCCCCCCCCAACCATGTTTACAGAGAGAGACTGAGCTGCAGCTTATGGGAAATTCATTTGTTTGTTATTTATGTTCATGCACAGGGGTCAGTGTGAGGAAACTGGATTATAATGTGAATAATTACGAGATGAGAACAGCGAAACTTAACCTGACTGTCACGTGCCTTATCCTGCAGTGTAGTCACTGAAGCCCCTTTAGCAATGCTAAACCAACTACATCGGAAAATGTGTATTTTAATTTGTCGGATGATGAAAATGGTTGAGTAAATCACATGCACAGACACACACACACATGCATACAGAGGAAGAACTGATCATTTACTCTCATTCCAACATATTACCTCACTCAGAAATCACTGGATCTGATAGTAGTACGTATGAAACCTGAGAACATGTTTCAATCTCACGAGACGACAAATGCACTGGGAGGGAAAATGGCCGCGGAGAGTTAGTAAGAAGACAAACCTTGATCGGAGGAGCGTCATGCAACGGAGCTCATCACAAACAAACACTGATTTATGGAATGAAACACTTTCCCCCCCTCATTCGGTTAGGTGATTTTTTTTCTCAACCATTAAGATGTGACAGTGTTGGAGACAGGGTAAATGTTTCCATGGTAACCAGAGGCTGCTTGTTGAAATGCTGTACAGTTTTGACAGATTATTGAGAAATTTCGAGTCCACTCCCTGCAGTATCCCCTTTGATGTAAATCTTCAGTTCTGTAAAAAATATAAAAAAAAATGAATCACTTTTTTTTTTGTGGTCCTCATTATTTCACCAATTTCAAAGCATTTAACAGAACTATGGAAAGACAGCAATGCACATGGTCTAGAGCTCCAACGGTAAAAATACAGTCAAACTGGACATTAATAGATTAAGATCAGGCCAGTTTGATCAGTGTTGTCATGGTAATTCATAACTGAGAATCTTAATGCATTTTGGTGTGATCTGATAATATACATCTTGTCACACACACACTACATGCTTGCATTTCAACAAACATAAGTAAATTCATTAATATTAAGTTAAAAAAATAATAATAATAACCAATCAAAAACACAGTTCTTTCTGAGCAAAGCTTTTTGCAGCTTTATGATCAGAGGGATCTGGGTCCTGAACAGTATTTGGCTTTATCACATGAATAATCTAAGAAATAGCTTTGATTAAACATTTTAGAAGTAAAAATCGAAACTATATCTTCTATACATAAAACCGAGGAACACAAATGCTTTATGGTAATATTAGATATAAAATGAACTTGTAACGTATTAAACGACAAGAAATGCGCTGAAAATGTAACATATCCTATGTTGTTGGTTTGGTTTTGTATGTTCTTGTACACTGTGTGTGTTACTTCTGAGCTGAAAACCTCTTGGGACTAGGAACCTGGAATTTATTAAGATAATTATTTTTAAATGGTTGAACAGTGGAGCATTTGGAATCGAACTTTATTACAGCCTATGTGAAATATATGGTCACCCAGTCATACATACCTGGATGTTTGGCACTCGCTGACATCCGCTGAATGGAAGCAGAAACGCGGCGGCGCTCTCCCGTTTTCACGCACATCAACACGTCGGTCTCGACACACGATGTTTCCCAGTGCAAACAAGGCCTTCAGTGAACATTAGGTCAGTGACTCTCCACGTCTCCGGTTTCTCTCGCCGCTGTTTGTTGAAGTGAGTGTGACTGGGGTTGTGGAGTGGTCTGGCGTGATGCCCACCGCTCGGGCTCCTGGAGGGCTGGCAGCCCGGGGTTGTAATGGGCTTATGATGGGTGCCAAAGCCAGCCAGCCACCGTGGAAGCCAATGTGGTGCCCAGATGTACAACGCATTCCCACAAAAAGCCACACGATGAAGGCTTTAATAGAGAGAGCCTGCTATTTAAAACACACTACAGCCCTTTTGGAAATAGCTGGTCCAATAAACTTTAATATGGAATATTATGACTGTGCAGAATCCGAGGCTCATCACATCGGGTTGGATGTTTGTGACGAGCCCTATACCCAGCGAAGACTTTAAGACTTTGCACAGTGTGCCCAAATTTTTTTGTTTTTTTTTTGCAGATGTTATGTTATGGCGACAGGCTACACCCAGATCTTTTCCAAAAGCTTGTTTTCTTTGTGCTCGAGCTGCCTGGATCTGACCTTGCCAACTGAGTCTTTCAACTCGCATTCAACTAGAAATGCATAAGAATTGGCTCTAAACAATCACTGAGATTAGAGGTTAAATAGCAGAC